GAATTTTCATTTGTCGAATGAACTGTTTGTCAAATACAGAATACATATATTTTAGAACAATTTTCTTTTTAAAATGTGAATGAAATGTTTTGCTTTTTATGTATTTTTTATGTATTGTTTTTGATTTGATAACTTTGAACTAAACATATTTTCTATTACCTTCAGATCTTGATCAAAGTTTGGCACCCAGTTCATAAGAGTGCTTATATTGATTTTCTGACATCTTGTTTTCTGTAAAGATTTTATTGGTAGGTTTGCAAATGTGTATCAGACTGTGCATTCTCTCCATGAGTTGGTTTTGAAACCCAGTATGGGATTCTGAGATACATTACCAAGGATATTATTACAAGATAAATCATTTGCTTCATTGAACACATACAACAATGCATATTTCCACTGAGATCAGTGACCTTTGATGTGTATCACTAGTGATCAGTCAAGTAGAAACAGTCAAAATATTTTATCAGATTTTCTCAATTTTTGCATGATATTATCATACAGGACATCTGTTGTTCAAACTCAGGGAAGACTTCATACTGATGAATAAGGTGACCAAGTTTGGTGAAGTTTGGAATAGAATTAGTAAAGTTATTATGCACACAATAACAATTATTAACGACGACAACGACAGCGCCGGACAAAATTTTTCCCTTAATATACCTTTCCCTTCCATCTTTGATGGTACGGGCAAGGTAAAAATGGATAGGTATACATAAACATAAATAGTAGCACAAAGTTGAGAATTTTGTCAAGAATACAAATATAGGATATAAACATCCGAGAAACTTGCATTGCCAATAGTGAATTTTTAGGCTTCACTAAGCCCCCCCCCCCCCAATAAATTGGAGGAGGGTAAATAGCATTTTCCCCCCTGCATTATTCTCTTTGATTCAGCTTGCTTAGTTTACAAGTTTCAAATTTAATTATGTTCATAGTTAAAGCGCAGTGGTCATCGTGCAGCGCGTGTTCAAATTTCACGTAAATAAACAATATATTTAACACGTGTTGTGTACATCGCTACGCAACGACTGCTGCCCTTTAATGGTAATGATTGTTTTAGAATAATTTTCTCAGAATAATTCCCGGTTTGTTCGTTAAGCTATTGGTAGGGAAAGTTATTATTATTGCAAAATTTAATTGAACATCGTGACAAGCAGGAATAGTGTTAGGTCAGTATTTAGTAGGGACAAGTTTTCTTGAAACAAAGATAGATGTGTCAAAATTCTCATACATACCAAAATCTGGAATATAGGCTTTTGTGGAGTATCACCACTAGATATCGCCTGTATAAAAAAACAAAACAAAGATTATTGAGAACATCAGGAAAAACTATATATACATGAAAACCAATACTGTTATTTATACCATATACACTATCATTATTATTGGGCAAACGCTGATCATTTCTCAGGAAAAAAATCAAAAGAATTCTGCATCCACTTACATGGGGGCATTTATCGACGGCATAGATTCACCTGTCATAATTAATGTTCCTATTTTCCTAATCATCAACACCTGCTTTTTCATCACTATAAAGTAAACTGCCCCTTACTTTTGGGGAGGGGGACAAGTTTTCAAAAAAGGTATTCAACAATATTTTGAAACAAAGTAGGTAATCAGTTTTTTTTTTAATCTTACAACATCCAGAGTTATCTCAATGACAAAATCTCAGTGGTAAGATTTAGCAAATAAGCCGCTAAATAATATAATGTTCTATTGATGCATGCTGCATCAGAACAATAAAGAGACTTTTATATGTAAGACTTGTACCATGGAACACAAGATGGAACATCACTGCCTGCATAGAGCCGCTTTCTACATTAGAAAAACCATGGAGGTAAAAAGAGAAGGAGTCACAGCCAAAATAATCCTTCTAAACTTCTTTTGTTTTAGCCAAGTTTAATCCTATAATTCCCTTTGTCTTATCGTCCTTTTACCCCAGGATCGTCGCCGACGCGTCATTTACTCTCAAGCGTTGCTGCGCACAGTACACATTCCAAGGTCTTGTTTTATGGTGTCGCAGTAAATATCAAAGGACATAAGCATGCGCAGATCTTTTATACGTAGAGGAATCGTGTTTGTGAGAACGGGAAAGTTGGAATTTGGAAAATCAGAGAATTTCTTGTTAAGTTTATGTAATTTTTCGTTTTTCAGCACATTTTCCGTTGTAGTTTTGAATAAGCAATATTTTAATGTTTCGAAACCTTGTTACTACTGTTTTTTAGTCCACAATAAAGCTCGTTTAATGATCTTTGCAATGGTGCATGGCATGGACCGCACCGCGTTGTACCAGAGACTGAATTTTGAGATTCGAAACGACGCTTTTTGAAGTTTATATCCCTTGTATGTCTTACTTCCTACAGCAGTGCGTCAACAAGAAATTCGCTGCATTTTTTTGTTTTCGAGCAATCGTTTCGTTCACAGCATATGTAAAAAAAATTTCGTCTGTAATATGCTCTTCGATTTCGTTTTCTGAATTGAAGGACATAGCAGTTTCAGCATCGTAGTCAAACTCGTGCGCGTTATCGATCGTCGCCATATTTGTTTATAAGAATTTGACAGAATTGTCACGAAAATCACCGAGTGCCGCCGAAGGCGTCCGTAGTATGCTAATTCACGGTAATCCTCACTGCGCTTAGAGGAAACTGTCCTCCTTGATCCGTTCGGCAAATAAACTCCCTGATCTATGTACAAACAGCGGCGACCATCCTGGTACCTTTGATCTAAGCTTGGCTGTGACTCCTCTTTTTACCTCAATGGAAAAACTAATCCGACAAAAGCTGCACACACATGCGTCATTATGGACGTGCATGTCCATTAAGCAAGTTTATTGATCTGTACACTTTATTTCTAATATTTGTGTTTCTCCCTGTTATATTATTATGGTCACAAATCTGTTTTGTACACCTAGTCAGCGATATCATCAGCTGATTGGCTGAACATTACAGCTGTGTCGCAAACAATGTTGCTTTCAGGAAGCCAGTAGATCATAACGGATCCCAAAATCAGATTAGACAAAAACAAAATCAGATCAATAACATAACATCGTATATGGTTTGATACGACATTTCTAGAAATATGACGAACAACAATTTTAAAACTGTAAAGAAATACACAGCTGATGTACGGAAACGTTCATTCATTGATGGGATGAATTAATTTTCAATCACCATCTGTTTGCAACGGAATAACTACCTATTCACAGCAACTATAAAATATTGACACGTTTCATCGAACTAGTGATCAATAACGTAAAACTTACTGACTCCAACCCCAATCGCGGTATCTGCAAACTTGTGATTGCAAGTTGTTGCAAAACAAGTTGAGAGAAAGAAAGCAACTTTATATGACGACGTTACTGAATATTTACAGTAATTTCACGGCTTTGTTTTTAGCCCCCCTTACATCATAAATAACTTACCTCAATACATCCGCTTGATAACGAGAAACTCATTTTGTTAGGTTATTTTCACCCAAAACTGAAGAATATTTACCACAGTTCGTACTTTTGCTCTGTCAGCTAAAATTCTCTATCTTGCGCATGTAATTCCGCGCCAAATACCCTCGAACGGATCCCGCGAGAAAAGTTCACTTGGGTGACATTATTTAGTGCATAGGGAGGTAGGTTTTGTCTAACTTTTTTTTTTCATTTAAAAATTACAATTTATATATCTCAACTCAGTGTCACTGGTAATTTCAATATAGAATATAATTAGTTGAAATAATTTGTGAACATGCGCTTGATGATTAATAATATTTCCTTCTACTGATAGAGATTAATCTCCCATAATTTAAATGGTTTTATCTCACAGTTTCACCCGCGATTGACCTCCATACGTTCGAGATTATGCAAATAACCTATGTAACCTTTGACATGGCCTGACACTGGTGACGGTTTGCCGAGTATCTCCGCTTTTTTACGGGAATATTCCTTGATTCCAGCTATGTTTTTTCGACTCTATGCTAGTTTTAAATCGTCGTGCACGGTATAACAACTGTATTCTTCCGTCAATACTGTAAACGCGATGCATACGACTATGTTAAAAACAAGACATCTGATTGGAATGTGACTGTTTCTCGGCGTATCAGCGCTTCCGGTTTACCGAGAGTGAACCCAGGGAGTGATCACAGACATTTCCATCTACTCCGAAAACTGCACAAGTTTCGACAATGAACTTTTTAGCCAAACATGTCACTCTTGCGGAGAAAAATGAAGAATCTTGATGTCCGTGTTGTCACTTTCGACGCGGAGTTGGAATTCAGGGTTGAGGTAAGTGCATTTGTTTGGCGTTATGTTTTTGTTATCACGTTGATTGGTTGGTGACTCAATCACCAGTGTAGGGTAGCGTAGCTGTTTTAACTCGTATACATTGCATCGGTTGATGCAGTTACAATTAAAAGCGATGTTCACTACCTAGTTGCTGCTGTTCTACATCTTTTATATGCTGACCTTTGCTATGTTCCTCCTCCCAATAAAACCAAGTAATTAGAATTGCTCTCATGGATTTGTGGGTGTGGTCAGTTTACCAGGCCGAAATAGTTGGGTGATGTTGTTTACAAATAAAACGAGTCTATTCTCGGTCACATATCTTTCAGACATAATACAGGATTGGTGGGTTATTGTACTTTACTGCAGTGTCATGTGTAACTAAGTTGGACAGATCTGCTAGATGCCTGTCAATTTTTAGTTGTGTACCATCAGTGTGCATGCTTTTTAACAAGACTGATTTTGTGGGCATCCTGAGTCAAACTGAAATTCCCAGTTGAGTCAGCTTATTGATTGCTGTGGAGGTCAGTCTGCAAGAAAAAAATAAATTGTATAGGACTGTAAACATGATTTGTGGCACAAACAAACATTTTGTGGCCCTGATTCCCTCATATTTTCCTTTTTGTTCACAAAATTACAAATTCCATACCTATAGTATACATGCAGTAATATGTTGTGATTATAGTAATAAAATATCATGCCAAGATTCTTGTTATTTTCAGTGGAAATCTGCAGGTAAACATTTATTTGAATTAGTGTGTCGGACAATTGGTCTGCGTGAAACATGGTACTTCGGTTTACAGTATTCAGATCGCAAAGGCTATCCAGTATGGTTGAGACCAGAAAAGAAGGTAATATTTTGTATATAGATATATATAGTGTGTGTTAAACAAACTCCATCATAAAATTACAGATGTTTAATATACACAGTGGTGACTACCATATCAATCTCACTCGTAGCTGAGACAGATATTGTTTTGTTTGTCCAACTTTGAAGATTTTCACTTGAAATACCAAATCCAAATACCATATTTATCCGGGTAAGCGCCCATGCCCGGGCAAACACCCCCCCCCCAATTTTGATACAATAAAAAAATTGAGTTCATGTCCAGGCATACGACCAGGGGATCTTTTTCTACACTATTTTTTTGTTCGTTGTATTAACAGTTGACTTCCTTAGAAACGATTCAAGCAAATCTTACAGAGAGCTTGCGAATCCATAATTTGGGCCAGCAGTTTTTCAATGTTATGCCGGAATGTCACACCAAAGGCTGGCAACTTTTTTACCATCTTTCATCGCAGCTATTGCATTTCTCTCTTGAAAATTATTCTTCTGTCGTTGGAAAAAAATAGTAGTGATGTCATTCTTAGCCAATCAATAAAACGAATGCTTAAAGGTCAAAGATGATTGCCAGACTATAAACAAAAGCATCGTGTGCCATTGTAGCTGAGTCGTTTGCCGCGACTCCATTTTTCCTGTCTCTTTATTCTGATTAGACATGAATTAGAAGTGCCAAGCTAACAGACAGCGAAATCCGAAGTCCAAATTGTGTGGGACTACATTGAAGAACTTCAGGACAAAGCTGTTGGGATTTTGTTTGATAGCGGCAGTGATGCTGACTTGAACTTTGAGGGTTTTGACTTTTGCAAAGATGGCAATAAACGTACAAATAGAGATTTGAGAAGTTGTTTTTTTTCAAACAACTATGAACTTTCGTAATTTTACTGCACAAATTATTATTGGCCTTGTATGGCAGTTGAACCGGTAATTGTCAAAACCGGAAATAATCTTATGCAGTTTAACCTCTGACATTTTAATTCATTTCTGGTTTATTTGTCACATTATAAGCAATAAATTATTTTTGTTATACTTCTAATGTTGCATATTGTTCATTTATTTCCGTTGCATATTTTTATTTGCCGTTCTATCCCCTGTTGCAGTTCGATCTGCGTGTTGTCAATTTTCGCGAATTTTTGTTTTTTTTGCAGGGGGATGTCTGGGCAAACACCCACCCCTATTTTTTGGCAATTTTCCATGTTCAGGACCCTGGGCACTTACCGGGATAAATACAGTAGTACACATGAGCTTATTGAGTTCACCACAAAATATACACAATGGCAGTTCAATGCATAACCATATCGACATGCATGTCACAGTGCTATCTGAGTTCATGGGCTATTATCAATGGTGTATAAGGAGATAGGGATAAGCAATGTAAGCTTTCATGTACTGGCGTAACTGCAGATAATCCCATGCAAAAAATAATAGAGAAAATAAGGTTTTTATACATACTCAACTGATTCATAATATAATGTGTGACATGAAGGTCATCTGTCTGATCTTTATCTTTGTTACAACATGATTTATTTTCAGATTGTGGAGCAAGATTTACCTCACGAGAACCCAGTTTGCTTTAACCTAATGGTAATGTACTATCCAGAAGAAGTATCTGAGGAACTAATTCAAGAAATTACACAACATTTATTTTACTTACAAGTCAGACATTTAATACTAAGTGAAGAGATATTTTGTCCACCAGAAGCCTCTGTGTTATTAGCATCATATGCTGTTCAGGCTAAAGTAAGTATTTTACACAACTCATCGTCTTGGCAACACTATACCTTGAAAGATCCTGCTTTGCAAATGTGTATGAAAGTGCGCCCTCTTTGGCAAGTTGACCTTTTGTAATTTTTTTTATGTATATTGCCTTTTTCTGCACCAACTCTGATTACTCTAAATGCATCAATCACTCACTAGGTTTTAATTTCGCTATTTTCGCTGATAAGTAAAATCCGCTAAATTAAATCTTCATGAACATGTAAAATAACAATAAAACTATTTGTTCCCTTGGCAACTTTGTGAAAACACAGAGAATGCACTCAATACATCAAAATAGTGAAATTGAATGTCATTAAAAATGGTTTTACGGTAAGTGATGATTTTTAGGTGCTTCCAATCAAATCTATGTATTTTCCCAAGGTCTACAACTTGTCCTCTTGGTACACTAACACATAGATTTTCAAGTTCACAAATTCATACAAATCTAGTTCAACAATATCATACCACATACAAAATAAAAAAACACAAAAATCGTTTAAAAATGTATTCATACCATAGTAATTTATTGTACACTACTGCAGTGATTACTTATTTTAGTGTCTGAATTGAATCCCACAGTTTGGTGACTATGATGAATCAGTACATTTACCAGGTTTTCTATCAGAAGAAGACTTATTACCCCAAAAAGTAGTTGACCAATATCAAATGACATCAGATATGTGGGAAGAGAGAATCACAGCTTGGTATGCTCAGCATAAAGGAATGACAAGGTAAAACCAAAGTCTTAATTCTTGTATTCATATATGTACTGTGGAATACTTTATTTTCGCTGGAATTTATTTTCGCTGAAAAGGCTTTTTGGGCGTTTTGCTTGGAATTTATTTTCACTGATTTTTGATGAGATTAATGTAAAATATAGGAAAAAATGTATATTCGCTGGATTTTATTTTCACGGAATCATCCCTTCAGCGAAAATAGCGAAAATAAATTCCAAGCGAAAATAAAGTATTCTACAGTATATGGAGTTTATGAATGGTATTGGTAACAACTTCTTACTGTTTGGTTTAATGGTCCTGTTGTATGGTGTAACGGTAAATAGTTTTTCTCTATAGTGTACTACGCTAGATATGATGCAATAGCCTTACTCTTACTTGTGTGTTTTGTATGGGATTTATTTTCACTGATTTCTGATGAGTTGAATGTAAAATACTGTAAAATGACTAGTTTTCACTGGGTTTAAATTTCGCTGATTTACCATTTCAGGCATATTCAGTGGGTTTTAAATTCACTGTTTTATCATTTAGATAATGTGTTCTATGCTAAATTTTACATATTCACTGGGTTTTAATTTAGCGCATTTTCCAGTCAGCGAAATAAGCAAAATTAAAAAACCAGTGAATAATTAACCCTTTTACAGTATAGGAAAAAAGGTATATTTAGTAGATTATATTTTTCCTGAATATAAAGTATTTTACAGTAATACGCTTACTCTATGATGTCATATTGTTTATTCAGAGATGAAGCTGAGATGGAGTATCTGAAAATTGCACAGGACCTAGAAATGTATGGTGTGAATTACTTTCAAATAAAGGTAACTTTGGTTAATTTGGTCTCAATAAAAACACTACAATGCCTTGTACAACATCACAGTCCAGCATAACAGAACTATACACAAATAGAAGTGATCATAATTTCTACGTTTTTATTGGCAAGAGAATCTATTTCTCACATTTCGTTTTTGAGATCTGGCCTTTGAAGGTTAGAATTTTCTTTTCTGGTAACATCTGCTGACGTCTTTGACGTGTTGCCATGTTACAAGCAGATAACATGAATACAACCCAGGGAGTGGCTCGCACCATGAGATTGAATTATCGGTGTAGTTTTTCATAAATTTCAAGAATTGTCTGAGGGAATTGGGTTTGCTAAATCATCCTTTACTTGGTTTTTCAAAATATAGCAACTCAATGTCCGAATTTCCATCTGTGAACTCTCCAGCTTACACGATGTGGTTCTTCTCTTGTTCAATCAGCATGGCATTCTTCAAAATGAAATGTGACATATTTTGTTACTTTTCAACTCGCCAACAGCAGATAAATTATTCGTTGTTTTTTTTTTTTTGCAGAATAAAAAAGACACAGACCTATGGCTGGGAGTTGATGCATTGGGGTTGAACATTTACGGATTGGAAAATCAACTCGCTGCTAAAATCTCGTTTCCATGGAGTGAAATTAAAAATATATCGTTTCATGATAAAAAGGTATACAAAATCTTAAAAATTAAACAACTTTCTAACTTTTCGCTTGAGCTCTAATAATTGTGCATTTTAGTTTTGACAGCACTGTTGTACAGTAAACCATGCTCAAAGTTTGTGTAAACAGATTTTGACATAACTGATGTTTCAATGATGCAATATTGATGAAAACATAATTTTCATATACTGTAAAGGGGTAATTATTCACTGGGTTTTAATTTAGCTTATTTCGCTGACTGGAAAAATGCGCTATAAAATTAAAACACAGTGAATATGTAAAATTTAGCATAGAACACATTATCTAAATGGCGAAACCGTGAATTTAAAACCCACTGAATATGCCCGAAATGGTAAATCAGTGAAATTTAAACCCAGTGAAAATTAGTCATTTTACAGTAATTTTTGATATTGTTGTTCTATACTCCTTACCATAGACCAAATCAGACTATGATTTATCCTGAACTGAAAATACACACTAAAGTATTTGTTAGATGAAAAATCAAAAACACTAATACGCATGTACAGTGAGAGTTATTGACTGATGCACATGCTTATTAGATAATTTAATTATTTCATCAAAGAAAAACCCAGATGTGTTTTCAGATTCAATATATTCTTCAACATACAATGTCAGACAACAATGTTAAAAATTACATGTTCTTGTCCATATTGCATATTTTTAAATAAAACCGACCAGAAACAAATGTAATGTCTAAGGGGCAATCATTTTGTTGCTGACTTCACACTTTGATCCAATATGGCCGACTTGTGGTCGCCACTTCTCATTAAAGTCACCTTACTTTCAGGAGGCAACAGGATTTATGTCTTCAGATCATTATTAACAGAAGGATGAATATAAAACTATCTTTTGGAAAGTAACCCAAGATGGGTTATGTATTCACTTAAAGTCCATTTTCTAAAGTCCAGGTTTGATTGTTTGTATTTTGTTTCCTTCAGTTTGTCATCAAACCCATAGATAAGAAGTCTCCTGATTTTATATTCTTTTCTCAGAGGTTACGGGTGAATAAAGTTGTAAGTATACCAGTTATTTTCAGAAATGCAGTTGTTGTTTTTCATTATGTTTAACCATGAACTTTAGGAAACAAACGGTAACATTTCTAATGTCTATAGGTTGAACATTACTCATGAAAATTGTGCTTCAGAAAAATATGTTGAAAGTATGACATCTATGTGGAAACATGATCGAGCACAGTTGTATGTATTATGTATTTTGACCCGCTTTTATTCTAAAATTACTGCCAAAGTAGGAAATAGAAACTGTTTCCATGGAAACTAATTTTTGTTTGCTCTTTGTCATTTATTCGATGAAACCACTTTGCATAATCATGGCTCGGCCAAAACTCTCACATATTTGGTAAATCACTGCATTCATCTTTTGAGCAATAAAATATGTCCGGCAGAGTAGACTAAGTAAGATTTTGTTTGTTGGGTTGAATGTAAAGTTTTGATGAACTAACTCTCAGGAGTAATATTCAATGATTTTTGGGTAAAATTAAAAAAAATATTTTTGTATTAAAGATTTTACAGCTTTGTGTTGGCAATCATGAATTATTCATGAGGCGTCGTAAAGTGGATTCCATGGAGATACAGCAGATGAAAGGACAGGCCAGAGAAGAGAAGGCCAGAAAGCAGGTCAGGTCATATACCAATCTTTGAAAGTTTTCTTCACAACTTTCATTATTTACAATTCAGTGTTTACTTTGAATTCTTGACTCATCAGGTCAAAGTTCAGATTAATAGGTCAACCCCCTGCATCAGAACGTCTTCGCAAACATTGTTCATACCTACCCCAATGAAAATACATATTCTATGGGATTATAATAATTTGTTATGACCTCAAAACAAAAAAATTATCTCATGAAATGGATCATAGCTATAAAGTTCTTTTGTTCTACTTAAAATTTGGTTTATTTCTTTTTACTTTCCTCTGCCGTCTAAAGTATTTCCTATAATTGAAAAAATATATTTTCATGCTGACAGTAAATTTTTCAATTGTATATGAAATTAGAACCAAGCATCTGGCTTTTATTCACAGCCAGTGTGGAGTGATGTCAGAATTGGAACTATGGCAGTATTTTATCTTTGCTTATTTTCCACTGTAGATTGAGCGGAATAAACTTTCTCGAGAAAAACATTTGCGAGAATTGGCAGAACATGAGAAAGAAGAGTTACAAAGACAACTTCGGCACTTCCAGGAAGAAGCAAGATATGCAAATGAAGCCTTGGTAAATCAACTA